AGGACTGCAGTCTTTGTCAATCCCACCAGAGAGCAACCTTTCTGCATCTATGCTCCTACTTGGCAAAGCCCTCTTTGCATCTCAGCACCCATCTCCAACTCCCACCGTGTTTGGGCAGAACCAGCTCTTGACGCTTTGTGAACCAGTCAGATTCTCCAGACTCTGCGAAAGTTTCCCCACCTTAAAACCCTACAGATAGATAATTTTGAATCATCAGCAAGATGACTTGTTCCAGGAGAAAGGCTCAGGGACCTGGGGTAGGAATATTCTGTGACCTCTAGCAATAAACCTAACACCAGAGATACTGAGGCGAGCCTCTTCTTCCTTCCCCGCCCCCACCTGTACAGCCACGTTCCAGGAAGAGAGAATTTCACTGGGGTGAAGGAACTGCGGGAAGTGGCCTCTGGCTCCATGGCCTTGTTCTTTCAATGCCTCAGCATAGCTGAGTGTAGACTTTGTATTGGGGTGATTCAGGGCCATGAATAAGCACCACCACCTCGCTGCACCAGGCTAAGATAGGGAGCCTGAGGATTTCCTAGACGGTTACATTAGGGTACAGAACCCCCCTTGGGATCAGTAGGCTGTGATATTTGCCACATCAGATTAATAAAAGACACCCAGACCCACACACAGCACATTTAAAAGCCTTGCACGTACTGGGGGCTTCTAGACCAATGCTGCAGGGACTGGTAACAGGTACATTATCAAGGAGTCTGAAGTAAGTGTTTTCCTTTATAATAAACAAGGGGGCCAGTTAATGGCCTACTTTGCTCTGAAACTACCTGTTCCCCTCTTTCTCAGCCCCAGCAGTAACTTCCCTGTCCACCCCTTCCCCCATCCTAGTTGGATCAAGTTCTGTTTGCTTGTCTGCAGCCTTGTTCAACTTAAACTCTGTGTGTGAGTAACCATCTCATGCCCGGGACCTGTCACAGGATCCATGCTCAACGTTTAGAGACAGAAAAATGGTACAGTGCTATAGATGTGTCCTCTCTCCTGGTTGGGTCTTTGCACAGCCTTGATCCCCACCTCCCATTCTAACTAAGTAGGGTCAATTTTGGGGACTGATGTCTCCCAGGCTCATCCTAGAAATATAACCAAGCTATTCAGAATATTTGGGGTTGTTTCATTTTTGTCTGAAGCTGGTCCGTGAACACCTTTGAGTGCCAGAAACTTTCTTCCAAATTCATTCATTCATTCTTTTAATCACTAAATAAATCTGACTTTTATTTGTGAAACACTGTGTAAGGGACTGTTGGGGAAATCACTATGTGTGTGCAAAATAAAGAGGAAAGAAGAGTTGCCATCAGGTTGATTCCAACTCATGAAGAGCCCATGTGTGTCAGAGTAGAACTGTGCTCCATAGGGTTTTCAAGGATGTGACCTTCTGGAAACAGATTGCCATGCCTTTCTTCTGAGGCACCTCCGGGTGGGTTTGAATCATCAACCTTTCAGTTAGTAGACCAGCTCTTATGCCACCCAGGGACTCCTAAAATAAAGATACTTCCATTTAAATATGTTATAGCTAAGAAAGTTTCCTGATTACAACCAAACACTCCGAGGGACAGAGCAGCAGGGGCAGGGGTCTGGCATAACAAAATTTTTTAAGAAAATGTTCTGCATCCCACTTCGGTGAATGGCGTCTGGGGTCTTAAAAGCTAGTGAATGGCCATCTAAGATGCATCAATTGGTCCCAACCACCTGGAGTAAAACAGAATGAAGAACACCAAAGACATAAGGAAAGTATTAGCCCAAGAGACAGAAAGGGCCACATAGACCAGAGACTTCATCAGCCTGAGACCAGAAGAACTAGATGGTGCCCAGCTACCACCAATGACCACACTGACAGGGAACACAACGGAGGGTCCCTGATGGAGCAGGAGAAAAGTGGGGTGCAGAACTCAAATTCTAGTAAAAAGACCAGACTTAATGGTTTGATCGAGACTGGAGGGACCCCAGAAGATATGGCCCCCGGACTCTCTGTTAGCCCAAAACTAAAACCATTCCCAAGGACAACTCTTCAGACAAAGATTAGACTGGACTATGGGACATAAAATGACACTCATGAAGAGTGCTTCTTAGCTCAGGTAGATACATGAGACTAAATGGGAAGCTCCTGTCCAAAGGCGAGATGAGAAGGCAGAGAGGGTCAGGAGCTGGCTGAATGGACACAGGAAATCCGGGGTGGAAAGAAAGAGTGTGCTGTCACAGTATAGGGAGAGCAACTAGGGTCACAAAACAATGTGTGTATAAATTTTTGTACGAGAGACTAACTTGTTGTAAACTTTCACTTAAAGCACAACAATAGAAAAAAAAAATTTTATAGCCAGAAGAGTCTAGGAAAAGAAAAACCTACCAAACAAACACATCACTCTAGGTCATATGTAAAAATTCTTTACTGTTGAGGAGTAGAGGGAGCACTGTATCTTTAATGTAGACAGTACGGAAACTCCAGGGGAATCTGTAGTGCATGCCTGTTGGGATTAGCAATATTCACTACACAGTTTCTAGAGCAGGGGGAGGTAGAAGGAATGGGGAGGGAGTCAAAGCATGAGAACCTTACAATGATGGGAAGAGAACAGAAATGGGAGAGAGGGCACCGAGGGATCGGGAGAGGGCGATGGGATGTCTTCATGATGCAGCCCAGGGATCCTGAAGCGGAGTGCTGAGGACCAAAAAACAAAGTCACATGTTATAGCCTGTGAAAGTCCCGCCAACCACTCACTGAGGGGACAAGGGGCATCTGGACGGGAGAAGGAGAGAGAACTGAAGTCTTAACCCTCAGCTCTTCCTGTTGTTGGGTGCTGTCCAGTCGATTCTGACTCATAGCGACCCCAGGTGACAGAGAACAACTGCCCCGTAATATTTCCTAGGCTGTAATCTTTATGGAAGCAGATCGCCAGGTCTTTCTTCTGCACAGCCACTTGATAGGTTTGAACCGCCAACATTTCAGTTAGCAGCTGAGCGCTTAACCATTGTGCCGCCAGGGCTCCTTCAGCTCTCCTTAGAGCCTCTGAAATAGAGGACTGAACTCTCTTGACAGCAGGTGCTTGAAACTTCCCAGCTGCTGAATTTATCATGCCGCTTACAAACACCTGTGTATGTTGTCTGTGGGCACCCATGCAGAAGATGTAGTGATAAAGCTTGTATCACTCTAGCATCCTTATGACGGACGTATACACACAGCCCCGCCCAACATGCCCAGGTACCAATGTTCTCCCAGCCTCACCCAGTCCCTCTTCCTCTTCTCAGAAACCTTCCAGAGGAAGGACAGGCCCTAGATCACTTCCTTTTTCAGCAGCTTCACATGAATGAAACAAGATGACAGCTTCCCCAGGACTGCCCCCACAGAAACACAATGATCTGTGTTGATCCATCTCGTCTAATCTCCTTGAAGTGCCAGCCCCCAAGACGCTACGTCCTGCTCTGCCTGGGACCTAAGAGGTTGCAAATGTGCCATGGTGGCGATAGTGAGATGATGAAGTCTGATCCCTCTGACAGAGACTGGATTCCCTGGCGAGCATTAAAAGTAGGTTTCTGCAATGAACTTGTTTCTACCATTTGTAGAAAATACTATGGCAAAATTGCACTGTAATTATCTTTATGGCTGGTGCATAATGCTGAGGGAGAGTATGTCATCCGCTGCCCATATAATTATCTGGCCGTCGGCAGGACTGAAATAACCATCTAATGAGAGCAAAATGATACGGTAAGTACCATGTAATCAGCGAGTTACGGTTATTACGGCTCTTTGTGCCCTCTCACCCAGCACTGAATCGGGGGCCAGACCCAGCCCCTGGTCCCAGGGAGTCATCACAGGCAGTATCTTCGAGAGCCAGCTCCGTGGGCCTCGGGCTGGCCACCTTGAGACCAATGAGTGTGGGTAGCAGGGACACAAGGAGAGGAACAGGGCTCTCTCTACAGTAATTGAGGCTTCCCAGTCCCTCTCCTTTCTGCTCCCCACATCTCTTTTCTTTGGAAGCCCGTGAAAAGAAAGCCATCAGTTGAGCTGCTTTGCTGTGTGTGGGAAGATGCTGTCGAGGCGGAAGCTTCCATGTTTTGACTAGACACTTCCCTGGGGTATTCTCACACTAGCATACCAAGTGAGAGATCTGTCTGCCCACTCAGGCCCAGGGTCCAGCCCAGACAGCTCTAGGCAGGCAGACCAGAGCCAGTCAGGGGAAACACTAGGACATCCCCCACCCCTCCCAGACGGGAACAGTCATGATAAAGCTCACGCTTACCCAATGCTACGTGCCACCACTGTTCTGAGCACTTCACCTATACTTAATCTTCCAAACCACAACCTCGCGAGTGCCACTATTACCCTCATTTTTCAGAGGAGGAAACTGAGGTACAGAGAGATTATGCAACTTGGTCAAGGTCACAGAGCTAGTGACTGGTAGATCCAGGATTCAAACTCAAGCCATGCTCTTATCCATGACACTGTGCAGAGGGACCAAGGTACGGTTTCCAGCTACTCCCAATTAAATTTCAGAGTTCCTTCCATTTCTTCCTAATCATCCTTGCATAGGACTACACAGAGGCACTGGACCAGGTAGCCCAGGATTCTGAATGATTTGAAAGGTTCAATCTGCCTGGGAAACAAAATGCTTTGCTTATGAATCGGATGTGGCACCTATAATTATCAGATGATGATCTCTCCATCTTTTGCACCGATTATAAGAGAACTGAGTCCAAACAACTAAAGTTGCCAATCAGAGAAGCCCCAGGGGAAACTTCTCTCTCCCATCATTCGGTCCTGCTCAGTCATCAGCCAGGGCCCATGACACAGGGCAAAGAAATGAAAGAAAATCTTGTGTGTGTGCGTGCACACACCTCTGAGTGTCTGTGCATTTGACCGAAGGCGTGCTGGGCACTGGCATTGTATTTTAGGGCAAATTTATGAGCATCAGTTGCCTGCAGTATCAAAGGAAATGCACAGGTGGCAGCCTCCCCCCACCCCCATACACCTCTCAGCTCCCCATCCAGCCCTCCTGACCTCATTCTGCGTTGGAAGGATACTTGAGGCTGCCACAGCTGGGGACGTTCTCTTGGTTCACATCAGTAGGAGTGGCTGGGGTGAAGTAAGCAGAGTAGTTTAGTCACGAAGGGCTTTTCTGAACATGAACTTCAGTCTGACCTAACAGTCAGGGACTGGCTGTGAGGGCCAGCGGTAGACGACAGAGTTGGGAGGAAGAGACGCCATCAGTTTGGGAGGATGGGGAGGAAACAGGGCCCCCCTGCCGCCCTCCCGCCCCCCAGCTGCAGCAGAACTATCTTACAAGGGTCTCCCTACTCTCCTCCCGGTGGGGTGGGGCTGGACTGTGGGTCCAAGATGATTGGGTAGAAGAGGCCCAGGAACCTTCACTGTAGCTAAGAAAAGTTCTGTCTTTCCCTCTGGTGATAAATATGAGGCACTTGGCGTCTGCCATATCCTCTCCAGTACCCCAAACCCTTCCACTGTACCTCCACACACTCTCACCTGGCTGGATGTTCCTCTTGCCCATCAGTCCCACAAAGAAGTCGTGCATGTCACCTGCAGATAAAGGGTCAGCATTGTCAACAGTGACGCATATCTGCAGACCTGTGTCACAACTTTGGAGATTGGGTTTCTGGTCTCTATTTCTTTTATAATGCCACATTTAGCAGGCATGCTTCTTGAGCCCAACCTCTCTGCGCATCTCTCCCTCTTCCACATTTCCAGAATTCTCTGCCCCAGCAGGTGCCTGGCTTGGAATCTTGACAGACACCAAAAACTGTCTGCTGAGACCCCCTTGGTTCCCGATGACCAGCCAGTGGCGGAAGGGTCCCCAGGCCTCTGGCACCTGCCTCCTCCTAATTCCCAGTGCCTCTCAGTTTGGGAAGGGCTGGCTGAACAGGTGCAGCTGGCACTTGGTTTGTGTCAGTGCAGATGGGCACTGGGCCCCATTCCCACAGAGGGAGCTCTGGGCGAGTAGACAGCAGAGACAGGGAAGGAGAAGGGGCTACTCACGTTTCTGGGGAAGTGATGATTCCTTAGGACCTGGGAAACCAAGAACAAGTGTGTAAACTGGGGGTTTGAACCTGAAAAGTGACGATTAGAGGGGGTTCAGACCACAACCCTCAACTAGTCACTAAGCCATCTCCATTTTCTCTCCACCTGAAAGGGTTCCCCAGGCCTATTGCATCCTCCAAATCCTGCCCCTCACACTCCTCTGTCCTCAGGGCTGCTGCTTACCCACGCTAGCCTTGCTCAGCATTTTGAGCAACCCCTCCAGAGAGACTGAGCGGCTGTCTAAGAGTCTCCAGAGCAATGACGGGGGCAGCTGGTAGAGATCCGAGTCCTTCTGGGGGAGAGAAGTAAAGAGGGCTGAGGCAGAGGCTCACACCCCTACGCACAAGAAACAGCCTCACCCTGAGTTCATTGCAGCTGGACCCGACATCCTCTTGATTTCAGAATTTCCTCTGGTTTGCGCTGGAAGAGAAGTGGGCTCTTAGAGTGTGGTGTGTGGACCAGCAGCAGCATCGTGGGGAGCCTGTTAGACATGCATCATCTCAGCCCCACTGAGACAGAATCTGCATTTTTAACAAGATGCCCAGGTAATTCATATGCACGTTCAAGTTTGAAAAGCACTGGTGGATGGGGACACAGGCCCCTGGGGTTCTACCCGTCTCTGCCCCAGGCCAGAATGTCTGTGTCCAGGGGCAGACAGGAAGATGTCTGACACACACATCAACAGTGTGGCACACTCCCCAGCCTCTGACCCAGTGTATGGTGGGTGGGGGTGGGAGTCTTTCAGTTTGGATTCAGCTCCATCCAAGTTGTGGGGTCAGCCCAGGGTGCTCCCCAGGGGGCTGCCCAACTATTCCATTTGCCCAGGACTGAGGGGCTTCCTGGGATTGTAAGATTTTCTGTGCTAAACCCAGGCCAGTCCCAGGCAAACCAGGACGGTTGGTCACCCCATCTCCCCAGCTCCAAGGCAGACTATCCCCCGAGGCCCTTTCCTGGCTCCTGCCCCTTCTCAAACACTGAGCGAGAAGGACCTCAGGCTTTTTTTCTCCCTGGCACATCAGGAACCAGTTTGCTCAAGGATGTGGTTCCTCTACTTGGTGAGTGAGCCTTGAAATCCCCCACTCCCAAGAAAGGCCCATCAGACCATGCACGTGTTCCCTAGTCTGTGCTCCATGACTGAGTCAAAGACAGGACTCGGTACTGGGGACGGGTGAGGTGGGCAGCCAGGGCACACCTGCAGCCCTGAACTTCCCCTACTCTGCACTCAAGCCCATGGATGTTTCTTTCCCGTTTTCCCACCGCCTCTCACTCTCCCTTCCTCTCATGGGTCTCTGCCTCTGGTCCTCTCTCCCCTTTTCTGCCCTGGATCTGGAATTTCAGGAAGGGGGCATGCTTAGAATGGCATCTCCTCTTCTCCCCCACCCCCGCAACTGAACCCCAGATCCGGGAGCTGTTGCCATGCAGGGTCTCTTAACTGTCTGCATGATTTTTGTTTCAGCAACTTGGGGCACAGCAGGGTGGTGGGCACACATCACATGCCCAGTTACTTGCAGCTGCAGAGAGACAATAGGAATGATCACATCTGGAGATTCTCGCCCTGAATCTCACAGCGCCTCTCTCTTCAAGCCCAGATGTCCCTGGGCTACTGTGCACACACAGAAGCACGTTTACATAGGACGCGCCCACACCTACACCAGTCAGTTGGGTAGAAGTACATGTAGCACATATCCTACCTGCCTTCCTCCCCAGTTTCCTTCATCCTCAAAGACCCATGGAGAAGAGGAACAGGACAGCAATCCCTCTCCCTCATTACCAAGAGGGGCAGAGAGGACATCTCCTCATCCAAAGACTCGAAGCAAGTTTGTCTCAGAAGAACCCAGATACTCTGACTACCCCAGGATGGCACTTTGCTGCTCTGCGTACAGTGCCCAACTCATATTTGGCACTGCCTGTGTGCTTTTTGAACTGGTTCTGGTCTTTTGGACAGGGGCAAATGCTACTACCTGCCAGGCTGCCAGCCTGTTGTGTCCTGGGACACTTCCCCAGCTAGATGAAGACTGGTGATCGCTCTCTTTGCCCAGCACAGGGCTTCTCAGACAGCCGCTTTCCTGGAATTGTTCAAATACTCTGCCCACCTCCTGTAATGAGATGCTAAGCAGATCTGAGCAGGAGAGGCAGTTAGACTTCACACACTGAATTTGTAATAAGTCCCTCCTGTAATCATCTTAAAAGCCTTTGTACCAATGTGATTGCTATCATTTCAAAACCTTGAAAAGACTTCCTCCCTGTTCTCCCCATACCCCCGCCTGACAATCCCTACCCTTTTCTTAGAGGAACTTTGGAAATTAGGGCCCAACCTACTTCCCCCCACCCCCTGCCTTTCCTAACTAAGCAGAGACTGGAGGTAGGCAAGGGAGAGGAAAGAAGAAGAGAAGGGGCTAGGACCCTAGGAGCACCTGAGGTTACTGGGGGCAGATGAGCAGAGGATATGGGAATTCATTTGCATTCTGAAAATAAAGCAGTACACATAACTGATAGGTAAAACAGCATACAAATAACCATTGGGGAGAGAGAGCCCAACTGTATTGCTCACCATCCAGGGCTGTGCCACCTTGCAAGGGGACAGAGCCTGAGATGGACCATGGAGAGCCTTGGACCACCCTCGCTCATTCCTGGCAGCACCACCCAATCACCAAGTGAGCAGTCAGTCAACAAAACAAACAACATCTTTTACATACAAGGCGTCAAAGACACACAGAGAGACAGGGATATTTACAGACATACCCAGAGAGTGTGAGAAAACGAGATAATCAAGGAGGCAGAGAAATCCAAAGGAAGGCAAAATATCCTTTGACGGACAACCCCTCCCCGCTGTGCCCCACCTTCCTCCTGGTCAAATGTCCCCAGGTTCTCATAATGTCTCCCAGTTCTCTGCCAGGGTGGGGACAGCTGGGGGGTGCCTTACCTTGCTGCGGCCCCCACCAGGCACCGCCTGCTCCTGTGACTTCTCACAGACAGCCACGCAGTTCTGGATCAGGCTGAGGGCCAGGATGGCTACAAACAGGTTGCTCCGCATGGTGCCTGGGAGGGCAAAGGGCCAGGCTGGCAAAGGGAGGGAGAGAAGGAGGAAGGAGGCAGGGTCCTCAGCCCGGGTGCAAATGCAGGAGACATTCATGATGTGAAGCTTGGCTTGACCCTGCTCCCCTAGCCTCCAGCAATCCTGCCCAAGCCCCTAGCGTGGGGAACCAGCAAAGAGCATCTCTGAGCAGGGAGTTATGTCCCTTGGGCTAAGTTTCCCTGCTCCCCATCAGACATCTCCCCAGGACAAGAACCTGGCAATGAGCAGTGGTGCCGGCGGGACTCTAGGCACCCAAGGATAGACTTACAGGATATGCACATTACAGCAGGCACTATTTCCTTAGTTGGCTTGAGGATGCACCCTGGATGCTATTTTCCAATACTAGGTAACCCCAAGACTTAGGCAAAAACTTTCTCGTGTAGAAGAATCAGTCTGCACCCACAGGCTCCAAATATTAATCACTGGTGCTTTCTGCTCACCTTCCCAGTACCCTGTTCCCTGTCAGAAGCTGTCACCTCCTTCACTCCCTCCTGACTCTGGCCCCGGCCCCTAGGCGCCAGCTCCCAGTCCATCCAACGTTCTCCCGCTCCCTCGCTCGATCATGCCTACCTGTGGGGCAGCTTTGAGCCTGGGCCAGACAGTCTGACAGGATCAGGGAGCTGGCTGGAAGCTGGGAGCACAGCCCACTCCCCACACTCGCTGATGATGCTGGTTTCGCCTGAAGAGAGAAACAGGGAGCAGAGGCAGTCTTGAAATGTAGCAGGAACTCGGTCCCAGCTCCCTGATAAAGGCTCTGGGAGGGTCTGGGGGAGCTGAGGGGAGGGGCTGAGAGTCACCAATCCCAGGGTGGCTGGAGGGGAGGGGAAAGCATGGGGGGGGGGAGGATGGAGACAGCAGCACGCGCGCGCGCGCACACACACACACACACACACACACACACACACG